AAGTTCTATAAAATCCCTCTTTGGTACAATGAATCTATAGATCACTTTTTGGAGAATTAACTCTTTTGAAATATTTTGTCTTAATCCACAAACATGGAATCTCTTTATATTTCAGTCCTTTTAAGTTCTCTTAATACAAATTTATAATTTTCATCAAAAAAGCTCTGCACAGCCCTGGCCGGTTTGGCTCAGCGGTTAGAGCGTCGGCCTGCGGTCCTGAGAGACCCGGGTTCGGTTCCCGCTAAGGGCACGTACCTCGGTTGCAGTTTGTCCCCGGCCCTGGTCGGTTGTGCGGGTGGCAGCCACTTGATGTGTTCCTTTCACATCGATGTTTCTCTCTCTCTCTGTTCCTCTCTGTCCCTCCCACTCTACCTGAACAAAAAATGGAAAAATGTCCTCAGGTGAGGATAAAAAAAAAAAAAAAAGCTCTGCACATAGCCTCCATTTTATTTTTTGTTATTTGATCATTTTCATGCCATTTATGTTAACTTTTTCAAAATTTCATTTTCTAGCAGTATTTATGTATATATAGACATATGATTAATTTTTAGATTCCTTTTGTCTCTAGAAAATTTGTTAAACTACCTTATTAATAATAGTAATTTATGGATTCCTTGGCATTCTCTATGTACATATCATGCATCAATTCCTGTCTTTATACCTTTCACTTCTATTTCCTGCCTAAATTCACTCACTAAAATCTATAGCATAATATTGAAGAGACATGATGGTTATGGCTACCCAGCTGTCATTGCATTATTTCACTTTCAAACAAAAAGCATTAAACATTTCAGCATGAAGTATTTTTGTGTGGCATTTTTGCTGTGGTATTTTTGTAGATAATTTTTACCATATTAAAGACATTTTTCTAGACCATTTTTAAATGAATGAGGATGAATTTTAGCAAGTGCTTTTTTGTTTTGCTTTAATTAAATAATCACATGGTGTTTCTTCTTTCATCAATGTGATGTGCTGTAGCAATTGAGTGTAGAATGAAAGGTCACCCATACCGAGAATGAACCCATGTTAGTCATGATATAATATCTAATTAATTGCTAATATCATGCTAATTAATTGATTTGGTTTGCATCAATATTCAAGTGATAGTGGCCTGTAATGTTTCTTTCCCATGTTGTCTTCACTGGTTTGGCATTGAGGTTTTGCTAGTCTCATAAAGGAGATGCATAGCATCTACTCTCCAGAAGAAATTCTATAGCAGTCTTTGAATATTTTGTGGAGATTTTCAGTGAAGCCACATGAGCCTCTGGCTGTCCTGATGAAATATTTTTGATAACTGAATTAATTGATTTCATCTTGATGAGAAAATTCAAAGTTCTTGAGTATGTTTCATCAGTTATGTTTTCTAGGGATTTATCAATTTCGTGTCTATTTTCAAAATTATTGGCTTTCCAATACTTACAAAACAGCATAGATAAGATTTATATATATACATATATCTCCGAGGTATAAACCCTTTCTCATTGCAAATAATTTTGCCCATGTGTGGTTTTACTTCTCTTTATCTAGTGCCTTTCATCATCAGAATTTCTGAATTTTTACATAGATCAATTTATTCATTTTTCCTTTATAATTAGAAATGGTTAGTGTTTTGTATGTCTTGTTTAAAAAAATTTTTCTACCTTATGTTTATAAAAATTCTCCTATCTCTTTTAACTTTTTATTTTTACCCTTAAATTAATTAATTTGAGGTATAATGTTAATCAGATTTTATCTTTATACATGACCACCACATTTTGCTATAAATTATTTTCCATTATCAATCATTTTGAGCCAACTTTTTATTTTCATTGTGATTTAGATTTTGAGTCATGATTTACTTAACAGTCTATTTCTTTAGTTTTAAAAATATAGGGGAGTGGACAGGGTCTTTCTCTGGGCACAGCTTTGTAAGGTCACAGCTGGCTAGGTCACAGTTTTGTAAGAAAATCCAACAGCATGCTCCAGAGCTCATGTAGCACTGCAGTGGGGTGGACCCAGAGTTCAAACATAGATGAAGATCAGATACTAACCTCACAGTTCTGTTAGAGATGATCATTACAGAAAAATCAAGAATTCAGTAACCAACCATAAACTCAAGATCAGTGGCAAAATCAAGAATAAAAATTCAAAGATCTTGGAAGACAATTTCAGTGACATCAAACCAACAAGCATAGATGCTGGTTGCTCATAAATCCAGGACCTCCTCCACCACATCCACAGGCAAGCAGAGGGCCATCCCCACCGCCAGCTCGGCCAGCACCATATATGGGTTTTCTACTCATATTTTGTTCTGCATTTCTAGCTAAATGTATTGTGGTCTGCAACAAATTATGTATAATTTTAATTCTTTGAACACTTTTTAAGACCTACTCTATGGTTAATATTTTGTAAATATTCTATTGTGCTTATAAAGTTTATCATCTTGATTTGTTGAGTAAGGTACATTATCACTTTTCATCAGCTATCTATAACTTCTATATCACTACTAATCAATTTATAAGATGTGTCTAGCCCAGCCGGTGTGGCTCAGTGGTTGAGCATCAACCCTTGGATCAAGAGGTCACCAGTTCAATTCCCAATCAGGGCACATGCCTGGGTTGCAAGTTATAGGCTGGATCCCCAGGGAGGGTTGTGTGCAGGATGCAGCCAATCGATGTGTCTTTCTCATCAATGTTTCTATCTCTCTTTCCCTCTCCCTTTCTCTCTCTAAAAATCAATGAAAACATTTTTTTTAAATGTGTCTAAAAATCTTCCCAAAGGACCATGAGGTATTTCTTTCTGGGTAGCCTTTACTTACTGTTGCTATTGAGAATTCAACCTTTAATCACCATCCACTTGAAAGTCATCCTTTCTCTAGTAATCTCTTAAGATTTCTGCCATTTCTTTATGACACTGATTTCTAGGTATGCATTTCTCATTATTCTACTTGAATTTTATTTATCTCTTTAAACCCCTAATTGGATGTTTTTCATCAGTTTTGAAAAAAATCTCAGCCATTATTTCCTTATTCCTTTTCCTATTCTTTCTTCTTTTTTCCTTCCAGAACTCCAATTATACATATGTTCAACCTTCTAATTGGAATATTTTCTATATTTTTATCTTTGTGCTTCTTTGTGTTTTATTCTTGACACCTTTTTCTGATCTACTACACATGACAAATTTTCTTTTCATCTTTGTCTAATCTATTATTACTTTCACCACTGTGACTTTAATTTTGGTTATTACATTTTTCACTTTTAGAAGTTATATTTAGTTCATTTTCAAATGGTATGTCTCTTTTTTAAATGTCATGTTCCCTGCAGTTCATTTAAAGCTTGTTTTTATATCAACATACTTGTTTTATAATCTGTATCAGATTATTCCTGTAATATTATCCCATGGTTTCTTAGTCACGGTATCTTATTTCTTTGTTTGCTTGTTGATCTTGTTTACATTTGACAATGTGCTTGTCATTATAATTTAAAAAATAATTTTTAGGTGTGCTTCAAATCTGGAATTAAGTGAATTTCCTCTATGATTGCATTTGATTCTTCCAGCTACTTTGGCACATCTATAACCACGATGACACACGTTTAAGGTCTGAGACTCCACGGACAGTTCAAGTAGTTCCAATCTTTCATGAATTACCTACAAGGACTAGCCCCCTACTCTTCTTTATTGAAGATTTTTCAGGTCCCGGTTTCCTGGGCAAAGGAGCCCTAATTAGACCTAACTGGGTGAATGTGGTTTTGTTTTATTCTCACCTAACTTTATGAGGTCATCAAACCAAATGTTGTGGGTTCAGCAAATACCCTCAGATAAATAGCTACTTAACTGGACTAGCCCCCTACTCTTCCATATTACTTCAAGGGTACAGACTTCTCAGGCCCTGGCTTCCTGTGCCGAGAGGCTCTGATTCGACTTAGTTGTGTAAATTTCATCTTTGTTTTCTTCTCCTCTTATTGTATATAGGCATCAAAACACAGGCTCAAATTTTGTGGGTTAAGCAAATGCCCTCAGAAAAATAGGTACTTAACTATCGGATTATAATGTTTTTCTGAGCATACTCAGAACATTCTACATAGTTTTAAGTGCATCTCAAAACCCACTGTATTAATCTGCAATGCTCTGCCGGGTCTTACCCACAGTGTTGAATGGGTGGTTTCAGGTCCTTAGATTTACATATTACTGGTATCACAGCAAGGATGTACCCCTTCTTCATAGCTCCCACCCTGCACAGAGAATGAGGATTTGGACGACAGGTCTCATATCCTGGGTGAAATAGGATCTTACATATTTCCAAGCCAGGCTCTGACAGCTCTCAACAAAATCAGCTCACTAGCCTTCCTGATACAGAGAGCAACCTGAGACACAAAGCATTTCACCTTGATTGGGAAGAAGGCAACAAGAAGACTTCAGCTGTGTCATAACTTGTACTGAGACTTTCTCCAGGCTCAAGTGACCTAAGAAAGTTGCCATCAGTGGTACAGCCTTGTTCTCCCATTTTCCTTCTCTGCCAGCAATCTCCACCCACTCAGGAGAGAGAGCTACTCCATCTGCTTTGACAGCTTCTAGAAAGAGGTGGGAGCAGCAGGGTGTCAGCAGGCGGCCAGGGCCCAAAGGGCAAGGACAGGCAGGCTGATCCCAGAGGGGTAGAAAATGGAGGCAGTGGGCAGTAGCCGCTTTCACGCCTTGTTGGGATACTGTTGAGTAGGGTGGGTTTGGGGTCCCAGGACCCATGCCCAACGTCTCTCCTTGAGCCCTGCTTCCCATTCCTGATGACAACACTGACTGTGGGAGCAACTGTGGGAGCTCTGGTGTCAGCTTGGATTACCCTCCCTTCCCCAGGTCACTGGCAGTTGGTCGGCAAACCACCTGGCCAGCCAGGGGTGATGAAACCTACCACACCAACAGAAGAATGGCAGTGGGAACCCTCAGGTCCCCACCCTACCCTTCCTTCCTCTCTTGAAGACTGAAAATCTGGCAGCAGGAAGCACCAACAGCAACTGATGGGCAGCCTGGCCAGGAAGATGCAGCTACTCCTGCTCCTGGTGGCCTTTCTCCTACCCCCTGGGGCTGGGGCAGGTGAGTGACCTCCAAACCCTGAGGCCCAGTCCCATCCCACAGACCCTGGACCCAGCCTGCCTAGGCACTTCTTAACTCTGTGTCATTGGGCACATGGTTTGAAGTCACAGTCCCCAGGCTCCTCATCTATAAATAGGAATAATAGCAAAGCCTACCCCAGAGAGGTGCTATGACAGTTACATTAGTGAGTGTACATGAAACTCTTGGAATTGCCCCTGGCATGTAGTACGTCCTTTGTAACTCTGCTCTATGAATCTTTCTGCAGCCCATGTGTCCATCAGTGGTTCTCAACCTGTGGGTCACGACACCTTTGGGGGTTGAACGACCCTTTCACAGGGGTCGCCCAAGACCATCAGAAAACACATATTTCCAATGGTCTTAGGAACCAAGACATCCGTCTTAAGGCAGGTCTGCCCACATTCTGATACACCCACATACAACATGAGGAACTGTATTAAAGGGTCATGGCATTAGGAAGGTTGAGAACCACTGTGTCAAAGCCAAGGACACGAGGATACAGCAATAACAGTCCCATCAGCTCGCATCTACATTCCTAAAAAGCAGTCCGTGCTGTTCATGAGCTGGTTATGAGCTGGGCTTAGAGGGCTCGGAGAAGCTCCCTGACAAAGAAAGTACCTGGGCCCTGGCCGGTTTTGCTCAGTGGTTAGGGCGTCGGCCTGTGGACCAGAGAGGCCTGGGTTCAGTACCCGCTAAAGGCATGTACCTCTGTCGCAGTTTGTCCTTGGCCCCGGTTGGCAACCACTCAATGTGTCTCTCTCACGTCGATGTTTCTCTCCCTCTTCCTCCCGCTCTCTCTGAAGATAAAAGCAAAAAATAAAAATAAAATAAGAAAAAAGAAAGTAGCTGGGAGCTTTAGGTAGAAGCGACTCCAGAGGCTCTGGGTCCCAGCTGCAGAGATCTCTCCACACTTTGAGAGGCGGAGCTGGCCGTGCCAGGGGCGAGGGTGGCTCTCCTTTGAAGGAGGTGTAGGAAGCTGAGTGTGGGGTGAGGAGCCAGCAGTGTTTCCAGCAGATCCCCGGAGCCCTCTCCCATGATGTGGTACCCTGCAGACCCCAGTTCTCACCACCACACCTCCTTTCCCCGCATCATGTCTGTAGCTTCCCCATCTTCTAGCCTTGCTGGAGTGACCCAGCTGGGAGCTCAGCGAGTGCAGAGGTAAGTGCTGAATACTTCCTTCCAGGGGAGATCATCGGAGGTCAAGAGGCCTGGCCCCATTCCCACCCCTACATGGCGTATCTTCTTATCCGAACTGAAAGAGGTGTGAGAACTTGTGGGGGGTTCCTGGTGCGAGAAGACTTTGTGATGACGTCAGCTCGCTGCTGGGGCAGGTGAGGAATTAAGGGTCTTCCAGGCAGCCAGGAAGGCAAGTCTGGAAGAGTTCATAGGAGCATGCAGTGAAAACAGGTTTCTAGCAATGAAGGGGTAAAGACAGACTGAGGAAACCCGCTGGGCAGGGAACTGGCTAGTGTAAATGAGGACAAAAGGAAGAGATGGGAGGCATGTATTAGGGCTCAAAATATGAATTCAAGCTATTTCTCAATTAATAGTAGGGGAGGCAGAACTTAAGGTCACTGTGTCCCCCATCATCTCCAGTGCAGGGATTTAGAGAAGCAGAGGGCACAGAGATCTCAGCTCCAGAACTTTCCTGTCCCCTCACTTCCCTCAGCCACAGTTTTGATGCCCTGGACTCTCCATCCGCCCTGCAGAGCAGGTAGACTTCAGCTCATGTGGCTCATACCTACCTCTAAGCCACCATTACTTTGCAGTCGTATTCGCGTCATCTTGGGGGCCCACAACATCAGGAGGCAGGAAAGGACCCAGCAGAGTATAGTGGTGCTGAGAGCAATCCGTCACCCTAGATTTAATGAGCAGAACAACCTGAATGACATCATGTTGCTGCAGGTACCATCTGCCTGACCCTCTGGTCCTCTACCTGAGCTGGCTGACTCTCAGCATGGGGGCTTCACCTTGTCCTGGGGCCATGGAGGAGGAAGCAGGGGCAGAGTGGCGGGGGGGGGGGGGGGGGCGCTGCATAGACATTCCCTGAGTGCCTGCACTCTAACCTCCAGCTGGAAAATAGAGCCCGGCAGAATCAGTTCGTGAGGCCATTGGATCTGCCTCAGTCCCAGGCCAGGCTTTGTCCGGGGTCCCTGTGCACTGTGGCTGGCTGGGGCCTAATCAGCCAGAACAGGAGAACAGACACGCTCCAGGATGTGCAGCTGAGAGTGCAGCGGGACCAGGAGTGCAGCAATCTCTTTGGTTCCTACAACGGCCGAAGACAGATTTGTGTAGGAGACCCGAGGGGCAGGAAGACCACCTTTCTGGTAAGGACACAGGCGTCTACCAACACCACCTGAGACAGAGGGGTCGGGGCAGAACGGGGCAGTGGGAACAGACGACATTCCCACAGACTCAGTCTGGGGGCCAGACCAGAGTCAAGTGGGGGCTTTTCCCATCAGTCCAGTCTCGGGGGAAAGGGAGGAGCCCCGCACACACAGCGCCCACATACGCAGTGTTCCACAGGAAAGGGAAAGGTACTTTGACGGGGGTTGAGCTGGAAACAGTGACCACAGCCAGGGCGGAAGCCTAACAGGGAAAGACCCAGGAGCTTGACCTCTGCACCCCACCACCCCCCTCCCTGAGGGCCGGACCTTAGGGCACCAAGCACGGGGAGGTGTGGAGTGCCGGGCCTGGCTTAGTGTCCCTTCCTCTCCTCACCCACAGGGGGACACCGGAGGCCCCCTTGTGTGTAGCAATGTGGCCCACGGCATTGTCTCCTATGGAAGCAGATCCGCGACTCCTCCAGCAGTCTTCACCAGGATTGCTCGCTTCCTTCCCTGGATAAATAAAACAATGAGCCAATTTAACTAAAAGGGAGCACACTGAAACCTCCCTTGTGTCTGACTTCTCTGGAAGTCAGCTCCAGTGGGGTTGCCAGAGCCTTAATAAATGTCCATGTCTAGAATGGAAATAACCACTTTCTCACATTATTAAACATCATTCTGTACAAAGCAAATGTATCCAGGACTGAGCCTGAGCTCCTCCAGGAAAAAGGGATCTTTCCCCAGGACCAATAAACCTCCCACAATCCCATCCTGGGGGACAGGGTGAGCTACTTCCCAACTCCAAGCCCTCCATTGCCCATCCCCCTCCCCACACAGCTTTGGGGCCTGATGGAAGGCCATCCATTTCCCCAGGGCAAGGCTCTCTACTCCCCACCCTACCAGAGCCTCTCCTACCAGATATTAAATTATACTCTAAAACTCTCTGCCCCTGGTGTGTGTAGCACAGGCCAGTCACAGCTAAGAATTAAAATTCCACCCAAGGTTCAACTTAATATATGACAAAGGTGGCATCTCAAATCACTGGGAAACAATGAGCTTTTAATACATGGTGTTAAAACAAGTAGATAGTTGTGTGGGAGGGGTGGAGGGCTGGATAAAATTGGATCCACTCCTCACACCATAATCCAAAATAACTTCCAAATGGATCAGAGATCTAGATGTAAAAAATTTAACCATACTAGTCCTAGAAGAAAGAGAAGGATCTTCTTGCTTAAAAATAGCTAATGCACACCCATATTCAAAGCAGCACTATTCACATGGCCAGGAGATAGAAGCAAACCAAGTGTCTGTCAATAGCCAGAATCCTTCTCTCAAACCCCCATGCCCACCCCCACTGTACTATAGACAATGTTCTCATTTTCAATATGACACCGGTCTGCTTCCTGTTTTCATACTCTAAAGTTATACCAAACTCAACCCAAATGTTGACTAAAATAAAACTAAAGATTAACCCAGGGTGGTCTACATCAATATCATATTCAAATAAAAGATTACTGAAGTCAGCCCTGGCTGGTTTGGCTCAGCGGTTAGAGCATCGGCCTGCGGACCAGAGAGACCCGGGTTCGGTTCCCACTAAGGGCATGTACCTCGGTTGCAGTTTGTCCCTGGCCCTGGTTGGTCATGCAGGTGGTAGCCACTCGATATGTCTCTTTCCCGTCGATGTTTCTCTCTCTCTGCCTCCCTCCCACTCTACTGAACAAAAAATGGAAAAATGTCCTCGGGTGAGGATAAAAAAAAAATAGGTACTGAAGTCATTTAACTTAAAATCACACTTCAAATACATTCTTAAGGTGACTATACAAAATCTGCTGGAAGGTTCTTTTACGTCCATCAAAATGTCAATTATTCCTTTGAGTGTGGCCTTTACCATCTGAACTTTGCCATTTCCATGATCTAAATGGAATTATCACTGAACACCTATCAAAACCAACTGTCTATACACAGAAATGTTTTGGTTAATTTGACCATTATTTTATGGGAATTTCTAATCAGAAAGTCATTTGCCTAATATTCAGTATGAGCTATTTATCAACAAAATTTTAATCAACAATGTATCTTTGATAGTACTCAGTCATTCTCTCTCTGTCTGCTACCACCTAACCATAGGAACTCTATCACTTGCATGTTCTGGGGGATAACAGTCTCATTATTAAATGTTTGTACTGGCAAATGGAGAGAATACTTGATGATGGGGCTGGAGAGGAGAAAGGGTGGAAGAGCCCCCATCCAGCCCTTTCTCTGTGAAACATACTTAGAGTCCCAAAGAACCACCCAGTCTCAGGACTCAGTCCGCAGGACACACCAGGGCAGACCCACCTCACTTCCACATCTTCCCGGCACTCAGCACTTCCAAAGGCAGCTCTCTGCCTCCAGCTGCCCCACTGGAGAGGTTTCTACAGACCTTCCAGGGCTCACCTCCAGAAGACAGTTCTTTTCATGACCATCCCAGAGCCAGGCAGACCACTTCCCACAGCTCTGCACTCTTCCCCACTAAACAAACCTCAGCAGCAGAGCTTTGGGCAAGAAAGTGTTTTCAAGGTGCATTGAAACTAGAGCAAAAGGGCACAATTCCTCCCACTTTCTTTCTCCAGGTGCAAGCTCTGTGCAGTCGAGGCCCTACTGATTTTAATGGAAAGTCATAAAACCATAACAAGCTCATGTGCAGTAACCTCACGCGGAACTGCCTCCCAACCCAATAGCCAAGGCAGACTTCCGGTCTACAGTGGCTACTGCCTCTGCGCCGGCACAGAGCATCAAGGTCAGGAGAAACTAGACATTGGCTATTCATCACAACTGTAACAGAATCCCAGAGGTGATTGGTGGCAACCTTGACAATAGTGTCTGAGTTCACAGAAAAAGTGGGTGCCCCAGGAGAAAGCCATCTGAACCTTGAGAAGAACAACAGAGGGCAGCACAGGCCAGTCCCATTAGCTCATAGAAAGTGTCTCTATTACAGAAGTGTAAAACATCTATCATAAGTGCATGAAATCTACTAAATAAATTATAAACGATTTCAAGATTTTAAGCAGCATAACTCCCCATAACAATTAAGAACTCTGTTACCCTGACAGCCTACCAAGATTGCTTTTTCCACTTTCCACTGAATTTTCAGAAGTAGGATTTTCCAAGGCTACATTATGATCCACCGTATAGCAAATTGTTAAACCATGTGACAATCCAAAAATTTTACAGTGTTTGTTTCAGGAGCTGCTGTTACAACTTTGTCAATTAGAATGGGTTTCAGAGGTAGCCAGCCTCCAATATGGCCTGAATGACCCCACCCCCTGGTATTCACACTGGAGAGTGAAGGCTTTCCTGGCAGACAGTCGTCACCGAGACCCCAACACCCAGCACAAAGGAGGAGAATGACTAGAAAACATCAGGATAAAATGCACCCTCTTTACCTTTTCTACTACCAACAGATGTTACCCATGGTGCCCACATCACCAAGGGGGTACCCACCCAGCAGCAAATCTCTGTGGGCAGAGCCATCCCAAATCCTGATGGAGACAAGAAACAGGGGCCGGATACAACTTAAGGGCCCCATGCCAGTATTTCTGGCTCAGCCGCTGATCAGGCCCCAGCTCTGCCCTCCCTTCCAGCCTTACTCCTCTGCTGGGTCCCAGGTCAGGAGGGCCCAGTAAACATAGCTCCTCCCTGGCTCTAGGGCCCACCAGAGAGCAAGAGATCATTTGTGATCTCTTGCCTCCTCCAGCCATCTGAACACAAGGCCAAACAACTTCTGCTTTGAGGTCCTTCTTGCACCAGAGCTAGAACTGGGTGGAACAGGGAATAAAGTGCAGGGAGGCAGGCTGGGATACCTGGGTGATGGCAACTATCCAGACACACTCCAGGAAGTGGAAACGCAGGTCCAGCAGGAGCAGTTACTACCGGGGCTCTGCCAGTTGTGCGTGGGATGTCGCAAGTGGGAAAGCCGAAAGAGAAAAAGGTTGTTGCAAGAGACAGGTGTCAGATGTGTGCCAGCAGTTACCCAGAGGCAAAAAAAAAAAAGTCCTAACAGCATCTGGAAAGACTATTATGACATGGGCGAGTCTCAGATCCAAAGAAAATCTCCCCCTGAGGGGACTGCACTTGAAAGGCCAGGTGAGCAGAGTGAGGAAGACTCCTGAAAGGGGCAGTGAGCTGGACTAAGAGACACCTGAGGGCCCAAGAGACCTCTCACCCCACCATGACCCCTTCCCATAGAAAATCACTCACATATCCCCAGCCCAGGTCCCACAGCTGACCATCACATACCCTGTGGGTAACATCTGCAACCCTCTATGTGGAGCCAAAGCTCCTGGCAGCTCTGGTCAGGGTGCTGGAGGACAAGGTGGCAGCACCTGCCCCAACCTCAGGATGGGTTCCTCTGCAGCCACAGCACATTTTGGCCCAGCACTTTTGGTCACAAACAGCTGGCAGTTTGGCTCTGCTCCTGCCATCGTTGATACATAAATGGTTAGTGAGGATCAGTCAACTGCTGGGCATGGTGCAGGGCCCTGGAGATACAATGGTGAAAGTGACAAATGCCTAAGACCCTGTATCAGAGAGGACAGCACAGCAGTACAGGAACAAGGTTGCCTAGTGTCTCCACTACCAGGCCACACAGGAGATTTTACTCCTCACACTCTCTTCTCTCCAAAACTGTGGCCACATGGCCGTACAGGATGCTCTGACACCTACTGGAGAGGATGTCCCCTGTGGGCCCATGAGGTACATTCCATCTCCTGCCTATCAGCTCAAATCAACCCCTCTGGGCTTCCAGACAACTATATTTCTCAATTAAGAGGTAGAATATACGTTACTTGAATATCTTCTCAATTCCCTCTATTAGTGTGACTCACTAGGTTATTTAACCTCCCAGTTCTGGAACCACAAGGATAAAATCTCACCCAGGCCCACCTGACAGTCCTTAATTTAGGACAGTGATTGTGTACACCATTTTTTTAGCCCAACTATACTTATACTCTCTTTCAAGCCCAACACCTCCAGTTCCTTATCCATCATTCTTCTAAGAAAGTGAAAACCCATGAAGCTCCCAGGATCCTCTCTAGTTGAAATTCTGCCCAGAGGATAAATGTCAGATGCTCTTGGTTTTTCTCTACCGTGCTGAGCTACCCTCTCAAGGAATGAAGGAAACTGGCCAGTTTGGAGAAGACCCCATTCTCCACCCTAGTGAGCTGCTCCATTGAGACTCAGGCCTAAGAATGTGCTTTCAGGAGGGAAAGTGGCCAGTATTTCCAACACATCCACCGTTACTCTCAGAACATTGTGTGTTGGTCAGGACATTGAGTGGGAAGACAGGCAGAAGACATCCAGGTTGAGCCAGTCTTCCATACCTGGGACTGTTTGTTCTTTCCATGGAAATTAAATCAGACGTTCTCAACCAAAAATGGAGAGTTATGAGCCACAGAAATTCTGCCTACATAACAGTCTTCAGTGGGGCCCCATGACCTGGATCTATGGGACAAGAGAGATCAGGGACAGGGAAGATTAGTGACAAAGTTTGTTTTCATCTCTTTAAAG